TGAAATTAAAAAGTATCATGTAAATACTTGAGTATACAAACTGTACCAGACATATCATACATACAATTTAACAAACCTGACAATTTTTTTTGGATATTCCAAATTAATTTAATTTCATATTTAGTACTTCTCACTAGTCTGAATCATATACATCCTTGAAATCTATAATAGCTGACATACAGGCCCATTGTTTTCCAATTTTATGTTTATCAAATGCGCACAATATTAGTGAAGGTGATGAAAACATTGAACATGGAAAGGGCTTTGTTTCGCCCAAAATGTAAAGTTTTGAGAAAACAGTTGTCCATTAAAGACTTTTTTTGGCAAAATGAAGTGACTGTGGAATAGTTGGCAAAACCAAAAGGGATAGGATAAGAAATGAGACAATAAGAAAGGAGTTGAAAGTGGATGCACTGAAGGAATATTTAGAAACGAAAAGAGCCCGTTGGTGTGGCCACATGAAAAGAATGGTTAATAAAGGAATACCGAAGATGGCACTGGAAATGTAGTTAAAGGGTAAGAGACCATTAGGACGACCCAGGACATGGTGGGAGGATCAGGTCCAACATTACATGATAGATAGTCTAGGAACAAGTTGGAGTGAGGTCAAAGAGGAAAAACTGTGGAAATATAGGGAGAGATGAAGGAGGCTTTGTATGATGACCCACAAATGAGTGGACGTGTCATTAGAAGGAGAATCAGGAATGCAAACATTCTAGGTGATTAAATGTTATATTTCTGACTTAAACATATCCTGAAAATGATAAACCTAACAAGTTTCTTAAACAGCATCTTTGTGTTTCATTCTGATACTTAATCATAAGATCCCTTTTAACTTCCATTTATTTATATGTCCAACATTTTCCAGCCAAATTACTGAGCAGTGTGATTTTTAACACTTCTCCCAGGATCTCTGTAGTTATGATCATGGAGTGTATATTGTTTAATTGATTATTAAATCTGGAATAATATATCATGAACATGGATTTTCCACAGTATGTTTGTTGCTTCAGGTGTGGAATGGGCATCGACTCGCTGCCAACCCAGCCTTTGCATTACAATTGGGTAGATGTGACTGATGAATTTTTCAGTGCTGTGAAAGGTATAGTGCATATTGGAGGCTACAGTTGATTTGTCTTTTATAATCTTCTGATATCAACCTTTTTTCTCATTGTATGTTGTTGTAAATGGTTTTACACTATTCATACAATTTATTAGATGAATGCAACCATTTTTGACATGAAAGATCTACCTAAGATTAGGTTTTTTCATACAGATTGATGAGAACCTAAAATATACTCTAGATCAGTGGTCCCCAACGCGGTGCTCGCGGGTGCCATGGCGCCCGCTAAGGCTTTTTTGGGTGCCCGCGTTGATACGGAAAGAGGTTATACTGAATAATGAAGGCCGTTCAACCATGAATATTATAAAATCAAAGCACAGATCTCTACTTACTGACGCCCATCTTGACGATTGTTTGCGAGCAGCAACATCACCCTACACTCCCAAATTTGAAAAACTGGCCGATGAAATGCAGTGCCAAACATCACACTAACTTCCCACTTGAGTAATAATAATTGTACTTATAAAAGTACGTATTTTTGATTACATGGTTTCTTGTATCATTAAACGTCGTGTTGTTTTGTGTATTATTTGGTGTCCATATCTTATTTGTCCAGAGAAAAGAAAATTTGGCTTTGTTAATTGGTTGGTGCCCGCCACCATCTCATAAAATGTCAAATGTGCCCATAGGCAGAAAAATGTTGGGGACCACTGATCTAGACATTTATGCTCCATGACATTGATGTATTTTAATGAGTTATTTATTCTGCCATAGTAATTGAGACACAGATCTATTAATGTCTCTCCTTTCTCCATATTCATGTGGCATATAAATGAATTCGTAATCATACAGGCCTTATATATAGGGAATGGAAACCTACGTGCAGTGAACTCTCGATTATATGTATTGTTTACAGAATAGGCTTTTCACCCATATTTGTAATTTATGTTCTTACTTTAAAGTAACAGACATGATTTTCACCTCTGCAAAGCATCTGATAATATGTACCATACTGCACAGTTAGTGTTAATCCCAGGAGATATCTTCATACTTGTTACTTTGACAACATCAAGTCTCATCTGATAGTTTATTTGTATATCCCTAGTCCCTTGTTCCCACACCATGGTGCGTCCTCAGATGGTAGATGGAGGAAATAGGATGGCTGCTGTGAAAATCTTGAACAAACAGAAAGCCAACAAGGGGTTATCTTTCTCACTGTAAAACCCAACTTCTTATGAAGTGCTAAAACGTTACCCAGTTCCTCAGACTTAGATAGATTCTTGGGCATGGTCTAATTTAAATTCTCATGCCATATTGTGTGAGCTTCTCCACGGCTCTCGTTCCACAGCTGCAAGTATGGCATCTTCATTGGGGGCGTCCATGGGCGACCCGCATTCACATGTGCTGTAGGCGTTACACGTCCTGTCTCATGGAGACGCTGCTGCTGTCGTTGAATCACATTAGCTTCTGGATGGCGTCGACCAGCACGTATTCCTGTGCATAAATACTACCAGCTCGACTGTTACAGGCACTGAGGGTTATGAGCATGTCAGAGAATTGGCCTTGTGTCTATTTTATGATCATTTGGTCCCATCTGAGCCCTGCTGTGCACTGTGTCTTGAATACACCTAATAAAGCTCCTTATGTACTACTGGGAAGTGTGTTACCCCATTTGATGGTGATTTGAATCTCAAAAATTAAGCATGTAAAGACGTGTAACATTTTTGGCTTATTTTGAACAGGGAGTCTCCAAGAAGAGCTTGTGTGCAAACGTTTAGCAAATAATGATAGGAATTTCAGACAATTTCAAAATTATGCATATATAAGTTTGTTACAGATTATATAAATGTGTTTGTAGGAGCCTGAAGATGACCTTATGAAGCCTGATTAGGTTGCCCTATAAATATTTTGATGGAAAATAAAAAAATCGTTGTGTATGACAAAACCTGCATCATGTTTATGCATGGAATCTGGAATTTTTGCAGGGCTGGAGTTGGGTCAGCTACTGCATGATGATCTGTTTGGTCTTTTTGAGGCAATGTCAGCCATTGAGATGATGGATCCAAAAATGGATGCTGGGATGCTGTGTAATAGAGGCAGCAAAGCAACACTCAACTTTGATCAAGCAGTTGAGGTATGTATGCTTAAATACTCTAAATATATTTAAAATGTAATTGTTAGAATCACCCTGGTAGAATAGAATGATCCTGCATACGAAATAAATGCAATGGGGAATGTGTTTGCGCTAACAGGTATACTGCTACTACTGTGGGTGATTTTTTCATGATTATCATTTGCAAAAGGAACTTTGGTTTAATTGACATCTGGAAGTTGAAGCTAGAGGGGATGGGATTACTTTTGCTCTGCGACTTGAAAGAGCGAATCATTTTGAGTGGAGGATTCCATGATCACAGAAGGCCTGCCGTGCCCATTTTGAACAATAACCTGGAAATTGCCTTACAACTGAGGAAAAGGGCAAAAGACTTCAGGGTAGCCAAGTATTTACACACTATTCGGTGTAATGTCTTGTCCATCTTTTTGGAACAGCCATGGCTGGCCTTCTGTCATGGTATGTTGGTCCACGTCCTGACAGGATGCAAAGGGAGCGCTCAGGTTTTCCTTTCCATCACCTTGACTTCGTTCACTACCGCACTTGCCAAGTCTGAACCGTGCTGCACCCTGTGCCACGTGCAACAGCTTCTTCCCCTTCTAGGTCTGTAGCCAAGTTAACATGTGCTCTGTTACACATTTGTGACATCCCTCGGGCCAGACACCATCCACAACCAAATGGTGAAACACGTACCCCACTTGACGCTGGTATTCCTGTTGAATATGTTCAACCTAATCTAGAGTGAGGACCTTTTCTATCAAAGTGGAGAGAGGTGATCACCATACGCATCATAAATGTGAATAAGGACCGGACCCTTCCCTCTAACTAACATCCTATATGTCTTACTGGGTGTGTGTGTGTGCAAGGTGCTCCAGAGTATGGTCCACTCCAGACTAGTGTGGATACTATAAAGTGAAGGCTTCCTCTCAGACTCGCAATGCGGCTTCAGACACTGTCGGTCTACAGTGGATCAATTTGTAACTTTTGATGGAGAGGTCAGGCAAGTTTTCTTAGCGAAACATCAGGTCACAGTGTTCTTTGACACTGAGAAAGCCCATGACATAGCCTGGGGATATGGGATCCTCCAAACCCTTGACCACTGGAACATGAAAGTTCAACTTCCCAGGATTCTACACAATTTTATGTCCAGCAGACAGTTTAGAATTTGGCTTGGTACTGTTGTCTCGCCCCCATCCACACTAGAAAATGGCTTTCCTCAGGGATCAGTCCTGAGTGCCACCCTATTTGCGATTGACATTAATGGAATCAAGCAGAGTACATCGCCATTGTATGTTGATGACTTCTCCATCTACTATAAATCCTAATCTCTTCCAGCCATAGAACAACAACCGAAGCTAACCATCAACCTGTTGTTACTGTGGAGAAAAGCAGGTTATTTGTAGTTCCAATTGTCAGCATGTTTTGGTAGTTGTGATATTTCTGGTTTTGTAACTCCATAGGTAACTTTGAAATTTCAGGATTTGAACTTAGCAGAATTGTGATATTCTGTGGTTTTATTTGTCCTCAGGTGGGAGCTTTAAAACTTCAGGACCTTTGCTTAGCAGAAGAGATTGGTATAATTGACTCTACACTGTCATGTCTGGTGTCATGGCTGGAAGGGCATTCTCTAGCTCAGACGGTGTTCACCAATCTTTATCTTCACAAACCGCATCATATTGAAGACAGGGTTATGAAAGCTTTTAGTATAAGCATTTTTAAAATAGTGGACATTATCAAAGACTTTGTAAATAGGTGAGTTAACAGTAATTCACATTAGGATTAATGTGATAATTTTTGACACTTATGTGTAACTGACTCCACGTAACAAAGTCATTCTTGAAAAGCAAACATCGCTTGTCAAGAAGTTCCCCACATTTTATGGAACCTCAAGATTCATTATCATTTTCACAATAGTCTACCACTGGTCCTTGTCCTGAGCTGCATGAATCCAGTCTACATCCCCAAATACTAGTTCCCTTTAATCCATTTTAATACTGTTCTTCCATCTGTGCCTAGGTCTTCTGAATGGTTTCTTTCCTGTGAGCTCTCCAACCATAATTCTGTACATATTTGGTGGCATGTATGTGCATATGAACATCAAATAATTTATTACCGGTACTCGTACTGTGAATGGCATATTGCTGTGCTTAGTAAATTATAATTTTTCTATTTGCTTGATGGGTGGGTCCTTATTATAATTTCTTTCATTTGAAAATTATATAAAGCCTAAGTGCTATGCACTAGTCATTGTACCTATTGCTGCATTGCCCTTTCCATCCACGGTCTCTTATGCAGCTGGAGAGTGAAACAGCTTTATCTCGTAAGTGGTTAATGTCCTTTTGTAATCATGAATATGCAGCAGTATCAAATATTATTTTATTGCACTCATATTTTTGGGCTGTTCACTTACTGCTGTGATGTGGAGAATTGCATAGGGCACAGTATCCATAAATACACCAAGTTTCTGGTACCTGGATCAAATGTTGTTCATATGTTCAAGACATTTTGACTCAAGTTACAGAATTGGTTGTTTTTTGTTATCTTTTCAGCCAGCAAAAGGTTGTATTCATATTCAATCATTGAGTAGGTAATACAAATTATTGTAAGTTATGTGTTGATGAAGGACGTAAGATTGAAGTTAACAGAAGTCAACATTGAATCAAACCCGTTTCCTAACGTTTTCCCATTTACGTTTTATCCTCTCAAACAGCCTGTTTCCATGTTCTTTACCTTCAAATTCTATTTAGATTTATTTGTTCTCTGTTCATGCTACAGGTTTTGTACATTTAGTCTCCTTTATTTTTGATCATCCTTACAAACCAGTGTACGGAACATGAACTATACAGTTATTTATTGTGTATTTCTTCCCATTTCCATATTGGTAAGAAAATAAATGGCTACTGGTATGGAAAACTTTTTGTTCTTTTCGTCATTCCCTCCAGGGAAATGGAGCTGTGCTCACTTCCCTCAACATCCTTTTCAATTCATTATTTGGTAGCCGTGTCCGTTAATGCTGTATAATCTGAGATATTGGCAGTGTTAAATAAACTGTATAAAAGTAAATACATGAAATGTCATATAACAAATTCTTACATAATTTTTGTCCTAGTTGCAT